TAGCACAGGGATGCAGCAATGTGGGGGAAAAGGGAAAGAAAATAAGCAAATGCTATTGTTGTGCATTTCTGCTGAGCCTTCTTCCATCTTTTTCTGGGTGGCAAGCAAGGGTAGGGGCTGTTCAGCTTGGTGATCTGGAGCTGCTGTGTGTCCTGCCCCAGCACAGGGGGGCTATGGCTTCCCAAGCACCAGCAAAGTGATAGCCTCTGGAGGGCACCCCGCTTTTCAGGGGTTCAGATAGTCGCCAGTAGGGCTTGCTGCTAGACTGGCTCACAGGGCAAAGTGGGTGTAAGACCTCGAGGTGAGGATGCTCAGCCACAGGAGGCAGCTGGGCAGACATCAAAACAGGGTCTGCACGGTCCCCTGGTCATGTCTGTCTTGGGACCTGGTAAACATTGTGTGCATTCTTTGTGGGGGGCTCTGTCCCAGAGCGGGGCCCGTCACCACTCCCTCTATGCTATAGTTAATTGATAACGTAATACAGACAGTCAGCCTGAAGAACTTGTAAAGGTGCTGCATTGGTTAATTTTTCACCTTGATTTGCTTTTTGTTTTTATACAGCTGGACAACCCAGATGAGCAAGCAGCACAGATCAGACGCGAATTAGATGGACGTCTGCAAATGGCAGAGCAAATTGCCAAGGTAAAAAAAAAAGTCTTCTGTATTAACAAGCTCTTCATATAGAAGCACATAAGTAGTTTGATGCAGCCCCCAGGTCCTGTCCTTCCCTCACAGGTTTCTTCTCCCAGTAATCACCAGTTAAAAATGTGCAGATTTTTAACATAAACAAAGCAACAAGTACAGATGAAGCTGTTGTGATGTGCATTTCTTGGAACGTCCTGATGAGCTGGGACAGTTTAGGTTCCTGCAAAATCCCTTATGAATCCTCAGCAGTGGGGAAGAAATTGTCCTGAAATGCTCCAGCTAGATCTGCAAGTGCACATCTAAGCCCTCTTTGTCAGACTTGTATGCTGGGCAATAAGGTGGGTGATGGCATGTAAAAAGGAGCCAGGAATTGCCCTAAAGGGGTTTGTGCTATTTGCTGGGCTGCTGGGAGCCACAGTTCCCTGCCTGTAGGTAGATGCTGCCTCAGTAAAGGTACTTCAGATATGCCATCCCAAACATGTTCACGCTTTGCACGAGAGCAGTCAGGCTAGCGTTGCACCGTGCGGACATCACTGCCGTCTGGAGCAGCAGCAGACACGGGACCTCAAAACAGTTTTCGTAACCAAGCACTTGGCTAAACTCCCCAGAGACCCTTCTGTAAGGAGGCACCTCCCTAGGAGCAGATCACACCCTCACACAGTGCAGATTTATGTGGCCTCCGATGGACCACAGATGGAGAGAAACCCTGGATCCTGCTGACATGAGTATGGCCGTGATTTTATCCTTGCATCTAATCAGATTCTCTGAGTCACTGATAAAGCCCTAATGGGGCTGAAGTCATTGGGAGTGATCTATCTGTCTGTTCTTGATAATCAAGAAACCATTACTAGAAGGAAAAGAAAAAGGTCTAATCAGGGAGACGTAGCTCAGGCTAGGGACCTGCTTTTCAGCAGCAGTCTTCCTGGCACTGAGCTGTGCCGAATGTTGGGGATTTATGAGAAAGGTAATATCAGAGCTGTTTTAGACCACACTGAGATCCCTGCGTGTGAAAAGCAGAGCCCGTTCATTTATGGTCAGGCATTAGCAAGGATGCCGGTAGCGCCTGCGCAGTTACTCCTCATTAATGCTTCTGTTAAACAGCTACTGCTGTTGCGTCTTTGGGAAGGTAGGTTCTGGTTTTCCCCATTTCACTGATAAAAATAGTAAGGTGACCAAGGACGACGTGGCCAAACGATGGTGCAGAAAAGCAGCAAACTGACTGCAGCTCCTTTGTTCAGCATGCAGCCCTTTGCCATTTTATTGTCAAGAAAAGCTACAGTATTTTTCATTTGTGCCAAAATGTAAGCCCCTGCACGGAGCGCTGCTGCTCCGGTTCTGAGATGGGTAGCCAGGCACTGGGTGCCAGAATGAGATTGCCTGGTTTCGTTGTTTCATTTTCTCTTTATGGCATGTGGGACAACAATATGCATGGCTCAGTAGCAGCCAGCAAAGGCTGCAGCTTCATGAATTGTTTTTTGCAAACGAGAATTTGCCATTTCCATTCCTCCCCCAAGGATGCTGAAAACTAACCATGCCACTGCTGGCCCTGCGAGAGACAGGGAAAAGTCCTCAACACAACCTGACATTTCCCTGTGCAGAATTCAACCTTCGAAATACAGCTGTGCAGCTTGGGGGGTGGTTTAGAGTAAAAGTGACTTACCTGTGATCCAGTTGGCAGGTATTGATATTTAATCTCCTTCACGTTACTGCTGCAGGCCTTCACAGTACTACTGCAGGCCTGCTCTCCAGAATGTCAGATCCCACCAGCACCTGCCTGCGAGAAACCTTGTTCTTTCATACCCATGGATACCATCTTTTGGAGGCATCCAAATGACCTTTTGAATCCTTCTCTGTATCCTCCTTTCCGGGCAAGGCTAGTTTCCCTCTAGCATAGGGCAGGTTCACAATTCAGCTCAATGAAAGGATAACATTTCTGATTTTACCTCCAATCTGCAGCTTTTACTGCAGATTTGCTGCACAGGGAGACTTACTGTGCTCGTGAAACCAGCCCTGAGGTGACCGTCTTGAAGATTCCATGCTAAAGGCAAATTAACGCCTTGTTAATGAATTAAGAAATTCACACTAGGACATTTATACTTCAGAGGCAATGAAGGCTGTGGAGTCTTAACAGGACTTGGGATCACAGCGCTGCAGGACTGGTGGCTCTGCAAGCCCTTGTCTGACCCATCGTGTGACCCCGAACAAGTCACCACACATGCCAGCTTTCCTCAGTGACCAGGTCCTGTGTCTGGATACCAGGGCACAGCTCTGGGTCTTTTTACCTCCTCGTGTGCCCAGGAGAGTGCAGCTCAGCACAGCGCCAGTGCAGCATTGGGCAGAGTCCCCCACTGAGCCTGACTCCATCAAAGCCCATAAGCTCAGCCTTGGAGCCAGCCAGCTTGAGGATCATGCTCGAAGTCAAGCAGATGTTTTGAAACTGAATCTAGGCAGACTTTTCACTCTGTGTTGTACGTTTCCAGCAGCTAAATGTGAGCAGCGTTACAGCTGAGAGCTTAGTGGTGCCAAGGCAGAGGTATATTTTTCTCTGCAGTAGCAAGTGCTCTTCTGTCCTGTGGTGTCTTTCCCCTCACCCAGTCACCTGGCCACGTGTAGGGGCAACTAAATGAGACCTTGGGATGACACCAGAGCAATATGTCTATCTGGGGCTGGACCCACTCTACTTCAGCCTGCTGGACTGGTCATTCCTTGCGGTCTCTTAACTCTGCTTCTCTCCACACTTGTCCCCATTTCTGGTCCTCTACCTGCTCCAAGTACATGTGGAGGTGACTAGCATCCTTTCTTGCTGTTGTCTGCATCCCTTGACTGTGTCTTCCTCCAGACTTCCCCCAGCTCTATCTCCAGTCTGATGGGTAACTTGGGACCACACCTGCACCTCTGCATTTCCATCATCAGACCCAGTCCCAGTAAAATTGCCACACGTCACATCAAACTACCTGGTTTTAGCCTTAGTATGAGAAGTTGCTGCTGGCAGATAGTGAAATGTCTCAGTCCTTGCTGCACTCCTGAAGAGGTCTGTGGGGGCAGTGCCAAAATTGCAGTCCCCGGAGAGATGGATAGCAGCAGGGTGAAAAAGCAATAATGTTTGAACATCATTGCTTCAGCAGTAGTTCTCAAAAATCTACAAAACAGTTGTGTTTCTTTTCCTAGGGGTGGCTTGTAACTTATATAATGCATAGACAATAAACCAGACTGATTAGGTAGTTTATCTTATGCCAGGTCTAATTTACATGAGGGAATTGCTTCCCAAGATTGAGACTGGAAACAGAAGACTATATTTTAACTGCTTGGTGCTTGTGCCGCTGTGAGCTTGTAATGAGTAAGCTATTGAGGACTGATGCAAAACTAGTGCAGTGGAGTACTTTTTCAGCAGCCTGATGACAGTCTTCTAGAAGAAACATGACCTTGTTTTCTTTTCTAGCATACATTTTATGAACCACTTTTTACAATATTATGAATTGCCACTAAGATACTTTGCACTTCAGCCTTGAATTCCCTGGCTGCAGATGCTGCCTCGCTGTCGTATGCCTTGCACAGTCTCTCGTAACCCACTGAGAGACATTCAAATCCTGAGCAGATTTGGGGCATGGGCAGAGTTGTCAGAAGACGTAGGGCTCAGACTAGTGATACTAACGGAGCTGGAGCATGGGCAGCAGTTCAAAGCTGAGAACACACTTTGGGGCACGTCACGTTTTGCTTTCATTATGAGCTTTGGCTTTAATGTTGAAGTGTCCTGTTTACAACAAACAGCATCAGAGGGTCTCGCAGTGAAAGGTTGTCTTGTTGGAGGGAGACACAGGCCCTGGCAAGTAGTGGAAAGGGTGTT